TCTTAAGTATCAAAGTATAGTTACCTATTATAGTGTTTTCCAGGAATTTAAGAACATAATGTTAAACAGGCTAGAAACTATATTCAGCTTCAGATCCTGAGACGGTCTACATGATGCGATGTAACTTCTTGCCTGTTCTATTGTCTTTCATGTTCCCCCGGCGGGAAAAGAGAGAAATAAAGAGAAGAAAGAGGGAGGCGGGGAAACATGTGCAGGGAAAGAAGTGGAATTTGAAACAGATAGAGGTGCTTGAGGATGACTTGTGATGATATCATCAGTTCATCATTACTTATAGGATGATCAGTCAATTGTTTTTCCTTAGTTTTATTTTTATACATTTTTATACGTCAGTTCAACACATACATCGCAAAAAGTCATTGGAAACCACCATTGCATTTGCTACGTAGAAAAACAAATAATCGCGAGTGACATACACTGAACAAACGCATTTAAGTGAGTTTACCAAGATATCCCTCCACACTTACGGGGCAAAAAAAAAAAGGAAGGTTACCAACAGCTCAATTTATTATAATCAAATTAAAGCATATCTTTTTTTTTTTTTTTAACCAGAGAATTAAAACACACCAAACAACAGAAAAGGCGTATTCCAGAAGAGTATGTGTATTTTCAGAGAAATTATACTCACATTACAAATTCACATGCCATGGGAAAAACAAAACATCATGATGCTAATATATATCGATCAATAAGCAACCAAAGCACTCAAATCTAGATTTCACGAAACACCCTAGGCTTGTAACATATCATATTTAAGGAGTTTTGAATGATGTTAAACCTAAAATGCGGGTTAATGATATGATATAAAGAATATGGAGTTAACAGGGAGCTGACGTTTGGCCTCTCTTATCATCTTGGACAACAGTTTTTCTTTTCTGGCTCTATATATATGCTTTTCAGGAATCACACACATACAAGCACATCTATTGAACTTGCCTCAACATAGATCAGTGACAATCAGGCTGTAACTGGAAGTAAAAAGACACGTGACAATTTAGTTAAAATGCAACTTGCACAAATAGGAAAACCAACATAAGAGAAGTTTGCCAGTAAAGCAACAAAAAACAAAAAGAACCAGAACAAAGGAACAGTTCCATACCAACAATATCATCAAACTGAGTTCAGAAAGGGGCCTAAAAGTTGGAAGGTACAACACATAGACATCTTGGGAACAAAAAAATGGAAAAAGCAAGAGATGTCCACAGAAGATATTTCAATATACTGTCCCGGGAAGATGTATATAGGTAATTTGGGTCATGTGACAAACCTCATGCTTTTCTTTAGCTTTAAGCAACAGCTGGTCTTGTTTCTGCAGATAATAAATTAGAAATAACAAAACATAAAAGTCATATAAGTAGCACTGAGAAGCACGGTTTGCAAAGGCTGGTTCTTTGCAGAGAGTAGGGTCTGGCGTCTCTATTCATGAAAATGCAATTATATGTGAGATTGCAAATGAGGGAGGGAGGGAAAGAAGATGGTTCTTACATTGTCCTTCTTCAATAACTCTTTCCGTTCCACAATTTTTGATTTACACTCAGATGCACCACTAGAACCGGAGTCCTAGAAAAACACTTAATAAGACACTTTGATAACAAGTTCACTGCATCATGATGTGATATAAAAAGTCACACATCATGATACAATATCAAAGAGAGGAATGGTGAGCACCATCTAGCCATACTGACCACGAAAAAGTGCACAACATCAAAGGTGACCTCAGGGATGCTTATTGTCTCCACATGTTGAACAAAAACCTTCTTAGAATTCAATTCCTCTGATACGAACAAAAACCATGATATCAGGAGTCAGGCACTCATACAGATAAATCCATCTTCAATACAAAACACTCCAGCACTCCTTTTCTATGTAGCTAAAATGTTTGTTTATTTCCAAAATTGAACAAAAAATTTAAAGGGAAAAAGTACTTAAAGAATGTGGAATAGAACCCAAACTGGACGGAATTGAAATTAATGGCTCACTGACAAAGCGAATTAACTGTGTAAGAAAAATCTCTATTGATTGGATCTCAATAGCAAACACAATGATCTTTGTTCCCAAGAAAAATTCCCTTCACTCAAGGATGTGGAAAGAAAGACATGGCACAGATCTCCTAATAGTTTCAAAGATGCAAGCCGGTAACTTGAGCCTAACACTAGGGAAGGGCCAAGGTACAAAGTATAGGTATATTTTCTATTTAGTTAATTTATAAGCCATTAATATCAATTTTATAGTGTGGGTTTAATTATAATTTTGCTTAAATTGCAATTCATTTTTCTTTGCTCAGTTGTAGTTCGGTTTCACCAATGCATGGTGGTTTAGATTCTGACTTTGGGATTAAAGGATTTAACCACCAAGATTTGGAATTCGTGGTTTCAATTTGGTTCAACCTTTCAACCTAAGTTAAAGTCTGAGGGGGTTTATTAATTGGTTTTAGACCTCATATCCTGAATCCTGAAGTTGCAATAAGGATAAACCTTAGGGTGGAATGTATTTCACCTTTTCCTATACCCCTATCGCATGGGAAAAAAATGTTCAGATTGATAGTCTACTAACGTTTCACTTCTATAAAAGTTAAGCGTGTGGCTTTGTACAATTTTGAACTTCATAAGTTCAAAATAAATTGTCATAACCAACAGAGCAAGAAAAAATATGGAATCTACAAAATCAGACCACACAACAACTGGTCCGAGATAAGTAACATACCTTTCTGGGTGGCGTTATCTGAGATAGATAGACTCGCAAAATCCACCAGAGGGCGCTTCAATGGCCTCTCACTGATTTCCAGCCCTACATTGTCACCCGAAAAACCAAATTCCATTATCATCGCTGAAGTTAGTAAGGCGGATCACTCTGAAACAATCCCCTTCTGCCCCCACTCAAATCATGGTGGCACGTTTTTGTAAAGGTCAGCCGGGCAATATTTCGACAATGAATTCTAGCATCTACATACAATTGTTCCTTTTGTATTACGAACACCATCCATAACCAGAAGTAGAAATTAAAAAGAAACGGTAGCTTACACAAAAGCGTCAATTGATGACTGAAAGGAACAATGAATTCTAGCATCTATATACAATTGTTTTAGTGTTTTACGAACACCATCCATAACTCGAAGTAGAAATTAAAAAGAAACAGTAGCCTACAGAAAGCATCAATTGGTGACTGAAAGGATTTCCGTTTGACCCTAACCACCACTGGCTTGGATGTCGCCGCAGCCGAAGAGCTTTCGCCCACAGTAGCCATGGAACTTCCTGAAGAACAGCTACGCTCGGGTATCTGCGCTAGCCTTGGAAACCAATGAAAATCAAGACTTGTTGGGTACAAATGGGGACAGAGAACAGAGAAACACGGAAAACTATCATCAAATTCAGCACCCTTTTTTTCTTACAGGCACCACGGCCGGCCAGGAGCTAATGGAACTGCAAGATCTAGAAGGACCACCAATGGTTTTGTTTTCTTGGCGTGTAGGCTTATGTGTGAACTCTTGGATTCGACAGGCACAGGAATAGGCAGAGGAGGGAAACGGAGGAGAGACGAGGACTGTTTACAACGGGAGGCCGTCTTCATCGTTATTACTCATCCCGAAAGCAATTTATAACATATAAAATTAATAATAAATTTATTATTCACAATATTTTATTTACGTGCTCTTTTAGTCTTAATTTAAGATCTAATTAATTAATTTAAATAGATTAAAGATATTAATTAAATTAATTAATATAATATATATTTAAAATACTCTAAGTATTTTTCTTAGGTTTCTTTTTTTTTTCCTACTTGATTATTGTTAAGAAAGTATTAATTTAAAAAAATAAATAAACATATAAAGTTAGTCTTAGTCTATATTAAGAAAGAGTAAAATGTATATCCTTTTCGAGGATGAAAAAATAGATAGCCACAAGGAACAAAAAAATACTTAAAGCCTCTAATATATGTATCGCTAATATTTGAAAATCAAATGCAGCCGGAGAAAAGTCATACTATATTATAAAATATTATATTTGAGGATTTGGATTCTATAGTAATTTTAAAAATGATACATGATCATCTTTTAAATAAGATCTAGATTTTCAAATTTAAAATTTTTAATCTTTATGCGTTTAATATTCTTATTTTAATAAAAAGTTAATATGCAATTTTGCCTCAAGAATATTTACTCAAGAGCTGTAGTATTCGAAAATTTTGTTTTTTTAAGAATAATGTCACTCTGAAAGCCACCAAAACATAGCAATGTTACCCTAACCATTATCTAAAATAAGTATGACTAAGGGGGCACTACCACGCTTACAAAAACTTTTGAATACTTATAGCTTTAAAAAAAAAAAACTTTCAAGACAGATTTCAACCTTAATCCTTTAATAAATACTAAATGTAAAATACAAAGCAAAACAAATATATAGCGGAAGTAGTCATTAGTTATCAATTAAAGACAATGACTTAGAAAACAAAAATTAAGATTAAACAACGTAGGGAATACACACCGAAAAAATGAGCATGAAATACGGTAATATTTTATGCGCCGCAACGCGGGCTAGTAAGCAGACCGATAGCGTGGCAGCCAAAAAGAGGTAGCACTGCCCACGTGTAAACACGCCCTCATGCAGCGATGTTGTTTGTTTACTGATAAAAATGGCGGGCCTCGTAACAAGAAGAAGCTTTTCAAATTGAAGAACAAGAAGGAATAGGCATGGACGACCCCTCATCCACACAGGGCGTGGCTAAGCCTAAAGAAGTGAAAGGCGTCATAGAAGAAGACGAAGGGAGAAGGAAGGAACAGAATGATGTTAAAGGCAGCGGCACAGCACAAGAGAGTGAGCAACCGAAAGGGCTGCCTCACCAGCAAGTCCCACAACCGTCTGACTTTTCCGCCGAGGCTTTAGACAAGGAGCTTCCTCCAACTCGGGCCTGACCTCCCTTTCACCTTTTTACATCTTTCTTTCTGTGTGCAAAGAATCATTTCCTAATATGTGTTCTGTGTTCTATGCCGATAAACAACGATTTCCTGTCCTTTATTTACAATTATGATCGAGGGCAAATGAAATCAAATATATGCGATCTTTCATCAGGAAATATAGTAGTTGCAGTGGGAAAGTGAAGGGCTCATACATATTATCATCTGCACTTTGTAACTAATGGACAATCAAATCAAAGCACACTTTCATGCACTTTCATTCCAATAGAATCAACTTCACTAGTTACTCTGAAGACAAAGAGGACTTGCGAAATTCCATAGCTTCTAATGCGGGAAGCTCAATAGCAATTGCTCTGGTCTCGGTTTACTGAATCAAAAGCTTTTGACCTCATTTGCTTTCGTCATGGAATACCACAGCGAGTACGCTCTGCTTCACTGAAATTCATGTCAACCAACATGAGATGAAGCGCGGATCTTACCAGCATTGCAGCCTTTAGCTCTCTTCTGATTACATAGTTTAGTGATCACGACCCTTCCCTCTCTCGCCTCAAATTGTTATAAATCCTCAAACCACTTGAATTAGGTCAAAATATCTGTTTGAACTTTATACAATTTTGCGTAGAGCCCACCTTTAAGCAGAAGTTCTTCGTGGTTACCCATCTGCGAACACGTAAGATTTGATAAAACAACAATCAGCAAACGTGCCTGAAACAGTTGCCTTTAGCATACTTCAGATGGGCGTAAAATCACCTCAATGATGCGACCATCATCCATTACGAAGATCCTGTCAGCAGCTTTTAGGGTAGAAAGCCTGTGAATAGTAGGAATCCCAATCATGCAACCAATCTTTATAAGGAAGATGAAGAAAAGGCAGGTTATCGGCAAGAAATTCACCTATGTGCTATGACAATGGTGGTTCTTTCTTTAGTTCCCCCTCTCAATGGATATAAAACCTCCTAAAAGAATTTACGACTGATCAGCGTTGTGTTAAAAACTGAGGGAAGGCGAAAATTAAGATTTTCAAGAAGCTTGTGTCTGAATAATACACCTTGATATAATGCTCACTCTCAGAATCTAGAGCACTGGTTGCTTCATCCAGTATCATAATAACAGGGTCTCTAAGAATGGCCCTAGCAATGGCAATTCGTTGCTTTTGTCCCCCGCTGAGTGAATTATCATCAACAATGGTTTCATAGCCGTTGGGAAACAATGAAATGAAGTCATGAGCATAGGCCTGCTTTGCTGCTCGTTCAATATCTTCCTGTTTAATGTCCCTAGGGCAACCGTATTTTATATTTGACTTGATGTCCATGTGAAAGAGATGCGGTTCCTGTCTGAAACAAAATGTTCCAATAACGATGAATTTAAATTAATGACCAAGTTGTTCACCCAAAAGAAAAACGACTTAGTTGAAGTAACGACTCCAGTTTAAATTGCCGAACCTGTGCTATGTAGCCAATGTTTTGTCTCAGCCACCTGATATCCAATTCTCCGAGAGGGAACCCATCAATGTAAATCTGCAAAAATAGATATGGCTACCGAGAATGCTCATCTAAGATAAATATTAGACTGAGTGACCATAGAAATAATATTCTTTTCATCCCAGTGTCGTCCTGTGTTTCCAAATAACCCATGCGGAGAGAATAAAGACATCCCTTTAAGAACAAAATCAGAGTAAATTTATATGAAGAATTCATAGAACTAATAAGATGCATGTTAAAATGGTTTCGGACAGACCACTGATCCAATGCATGACAAGCATGCAGGTCCTTCTATCTAATTATAGATTGGATTCCATTTTGCCGTGGCATGCAGATCTGAGTCGTTTACCTGACCATTACTCGGCTCATATAAACGAAGTAAAAGATTGAGTAATGTGCTCTTTCCGCTACCACTAAGACCAACCTAGCGAAAATAGAGCTGTCAAATCAGGTCGCCGATTGAGCCACGCCAAAATGGGAAAGACAGGCAATAGAGAAAGAGAGTTCTTACTATTGCAATCATTTCATTTGGTTCTACACAGAAGTTTAAGCGTTCTAGAATAGGCACCTGCTCAAACGTCACATAAAATCAAAGATTAAAAAAGAAAATTAAATAACAATAATAGTAATGATAATAATAATAAACAACTTAATCAGCTTCAACCAAACAAATGGAAAAACTTGTGTGCCGTGGTAACACTTGTAGCTATGCGTTGTGGGGATAGTGGAGGCATTGGGGTAACACAAGTTTTGATGAAGGTACCGACGGAGGCATCCAAGATCATGGAGGTAGGATGCCATGCAGTAATTAGTTGCGAGGGTAGTCTGCCATGGTAACAATTGGATGGTGTTCAAGAGGCAGGTAGGGTGGAAAAGGGGGCAGCTGTCCATGTGGCTCCAGTCACGAATGAGGTAATGGCAAGGAACCATCAAATGTTTTCCAAAAGATGAGGGTAGCAGGTTGCCAAATTGTCAGAAATTATACATAATTCAGTGCTTCAAAATTATCAAATTCACTTTACAACTTCAGTGATTCAGTGCAGGGCAAGTAGCCAAATGCATTTTCATGCTTATCTGGAGAGTTACGCGATCCTATATATTACTGTTGTAACAAATGAAGCAAAAGAAAGTCATCACAAGAAGTCATACCGTGATCCTTGTAGGATAACAAAATGATACATTTACAAAATTAATACGTCCCCTTAACCGCCGCAACTTCACTCCTGCATACGCTATGAACCAGAATCAACAAAACATAAATTCACAAAGGGGAAAAAAGAGTCACAATTACTTGCCTTTGGATAAAAATTGGTCACTGGGCAAAAGATCCATCATTTGGAAAACTTTTTCACATGCTCCAATTGACTGCAGGAATGATGACAAGCTATTTGTCACCCTCCAAGTAGCAAAAATCAGCCACTCACAGTATAGTACATACTTAGTAAGCTGCTCTGCAGTTACACGACAACAGAGAACGGACATTCCTCCTAACAGCACCGCAAGTACCTGCATGTAGCATATTGCATCAATTTTAGTCCGCTGTAATCATTTTGGGGAAAGGACAAAAGAATCAACAATGTGTAAACAATCATAGGCCAGCACATGAATGGACCACCCCGAACATTATCACACCAAAAACCAAGTACCAAGAGAGATACTTGGAAACTATGTGGCTGATGAATATATTTGGTTCCCAGCTTCTCTGAAAGTAAAAAGAGAATGTGACAATATAGAGTTCTAAAACTGATTCTTGTGAAAAAGATAACTTGGAAAAACATATCTTATTCCATAAGATAGAGAACTAATATATCCTCAAACTTAATTCACTCGATCCTCACCATTAGCTTTAAAATGTGAATAGATATAAACAAATTTGGCCTTCAGTTCACGAACCAATTAGTTCTGTAGCAAAATACAGAACATGTATATATCTATCTCTTTTACGCTTACCCACCAACATACAATAGTACAAGCGGAGCCATGCTATCATAAAAAATACTTAAACAATAGTTAGACATCAAAGGGCAAACAGGATCATCCAGTCAAGACCGTGGAGCTTGAGGTTAATTCCCCGTGGGAATGGGACAATATCCCAAAAAACTGATATGAAAATGACAAAGTTGCAATATGCAATTAGTGGCTTAAATCTTCTGACAAGGAAATCAGTCGCCAAACCTGAGTTGAACGATAAAGAGTGTTAAAACTCAGGCTCCAAAAACCATAAGCCAAACTCTCTCGTGTGTTTATAAATGCTAATCTCTGAAGCCATTGCTTGTACCTGATTAAAAATAGCATGGGTATAATTAATATCAGTATTATCAAAATAAATGTTATAAACATAAGCCTGGGTGATCCGCTTGTAAACTTTGATTGTCAAGAGTACCAGTATCAAGTTTAAAATGGCAACTACCACTAAATGTGCTGGTTTGTGGAACCTTATGATTATAGCCAAATCAACACAGCTTTGCTATGGTTTTGAGTTGAGCTTCTTTTTCATTTTAATTTTATGGTTTTGTACACAAACGTGAAGAATGTCAGAATTTAAGCGCAATGAGCTTGCAATGCAGTTGATTCCCTTTCAGGATAAGATTAAAGGTTGATGATGATTATTGAATTTAAAACACCAGAGATATCCTCCACTGCTTCTATGCCATCAAATCAGAATATTTCAGCAGGGAGATTAGAGAGAAAATAAATAAAACCTTCCAATTTCTTCTACTTCAGTGCCATAGGCTCGGACTGTTCTTACCAGTGAAAGGGTTTCCTGTGCTACCTGCATCAGAGAAGATACTGAGGAAAAATTCCGAAACAACCTCAGAAGTAATTCTTCCAACGTAATGAGCATACTTGATTGGCACTAGCTGTGAAATCTTGGGTCCACTTTGCTGCTTTTCTTTGATACCTGGTGTTTAAAAAAAATGAAATGCTCAGACAATCTGCACTACCAAGGAACTTTAATACCACAGAGATAAACATTTACTAGTAGCTCAAACCAATGAACTTTTCAAGACACATCATCTTTGTGGATTGTTTCTCATCTCTAGTTTCCCCGGAAGAGAAGCTTTCATCTCAAACCAAATAAAACATTTTTCCCAGAAATTCGTGGATGCGTGTTCCTATGAAGGTTTTTTGGCCTTTCTGACCGAGCAAAAAATTTTATAAACTTGGACAAAAGACTTAAGCTCCAAAACTGAGATGAACACCATTTTCAGTATCATGTGCATTGTAGCAATTTGCTGGCACCTCATCACGGTCATGCAATAACTAGTTAATACTATTCATCGCAAAAAAATTACACAAATAATAAGTCATGTCACAGAAGCTTACTGGCCATAAACCAGGAAAATTGAGGACAAAAGAGAGCAAATCACCAAGGCAGACAATGCCAGAGGCCATGATAAAATCAGCAAATTAATTATTGCCCCTGTTCCCTGAATATCAAAGAAAAGAAAAGGCAATTAATTCTGGGTTTCAAGCTAAGGTAAAGATATCAGAATACTAACCTGTAAAGTGTTGCGAAATATCAAATGTAGATCATTTCCTATGACATAAGATAGTCGTTGACAATCTGCTGAAAGCCTGCTTGTCAAGTCACCAACTTGCTCTCTATCAAAATAGGATATGTCCTACATCATAGATAAAACAAAAACATATAGAAAGAACATATAAAAATACAGAGAAAGAAAGAAACAGATAATACATCCTCAAATAGAATTTAAATACATCACAAGAACTGCCGAAGAATGCAACCTGAAACAGAAGAGCTGCATACAGATTTTCCCGGAGACGCTTTACCTGCAGAATGATGATCACAGCATCAGATGGCACCACATCCCTAAATCCTAGAGATAAATGCATGAAGGAAAGCTAGTTATATGTATTGGAGATCAATAAAAATGTGCCGCAATAGAAATAGAAAAGTTAGATGAGTTTCACAAAAAGCAATGCCGAACAAACCCCAAATAGTGATCCAGGAAACCTAAAATCATTTTTCATTCGAACAAATCGCATGAGCTGATCCAAGAGGATCATGACCATTTTAGCAACTGAATTGATTTTAGAGTTTACATTAACCACACCTAAAGACTTGTCACTTACACCAAATTAGCTTAAGTTACTTTGGAAAGGCTCATCATAGCTCATATAGTTGTGATTAATCCTCTAATTACTCGTTGTGGAACTATCATATATCTAATATTTCTTTCCTTTCTTTTCTTTTTTCAATCTTAATTTTTTCCTCTTTGCCTTTTTTTGAGCCCAAAATTGGCTCAGCTCTTGATACCGTATTAGAGTTTAAATTAATCACACCTAAAGGCTTGTCACTTGCACCAAAATATCTCAAGCTGTTTCAGAAGGACTCAGGGCTTGTCACTTACACCAAAGCCATTTCAAAAGGACTCACCACATACTTATATAGTTGTGATTACTTAGTCCTCTAATAACTCGACATTGGATTATCATGCATCTAATAAAACACAGAGAGAGTTCGGCCAACGTGGCTTGCTTGTACTTGACAACAACTTGTTGATAGGATAACTTAGCAGTCCTATGACCTATTAATGAAATCATAATTTTAGCTTGTACTAAAAAGTGACACGCAAATGTCATATCATAAGATATTTGAACGCTCTGGAGGAACATTGCAAGAATACCCAAACTTCCTAGTGAAATTAATAGTCATCATCAGTAGTGCTTGACAGGAAACCAAGACAACTATAGCATTAAGGTTAGTCAACAGCCGAATCATCAGGAATTCTTGTTTAGAATTATATGTTATAGCAATGCAGTTTCATAACCTGAAAAAAATTATCAATAATAACTGGATATGATAAGCACGCACCAGGATTACATTTAAAATTCCAAAGCAGCCGCTTCGCAAACCACTGAAATTCAAATGAAATAACTCAATAATCAACCCCCGAATTTTTATATTTGCTGCAATTCACATAGTCCCCACTCCCTACAACAGATAAGGAAATAAAGTAATAGGACAGAATGATAGATTCAATGCAAACTCCTAATGATCTGCTTTTTAATAGCTCTCTCTTCTTCTTCTTTTTTCCGTCACAGTTTGATACCGTTTAAAGCATTAAAATGCCTGGTATGAGTGTATCACTGATACATTTGAATAGTGTCTCTTTTTTTGGCATGAGATAGCGTTTATCCTTAAAAACAGTATATTTGCCGTTCAAGTGGAGTCTGTGTATACAAGCTGCTCAGAGATATCTTATGAAAATCAAAAGATTAATGCAGTGAGCAAAGAACAATTTAAGATTTATATAAGTCACCTGCATATGCCTGAAGTGAAACACAGAACAAGTAAGAACTGTGCCTTCCGGTAGAACCCCACGGTCTCGCCACTCCGTGCCGAAAATATTGACGCAGCCAATATACTTGGCATGGAGATCTCTGACACCTGCACTAGAGGAACAAATGTTGAGAACTAATAAATAGGACGAGAATAAAGGGAAAAATGATGAAAGTGGAATGCAGTAAACGCAATAAGTTTTATTTCCGTTAAAGGAAGTCATCGTTTTACTTCTACCATTAGTAGTAGCATATTTATTATTATTCATTAGTCAAAAGTCAAAAAAGTTCCTCAAAGCGACTCTTAGAAGTTGGTATTTGAATGTACAAAACATGAATTGCATAATGACGCAATATGTACGCATTAGACATTTCATTCATAAAGACGATATGCTGAGAATGACAGCTATCCAATGTTCAACGATCAGTGTAATTATGCGATTGAACTTCGACATTAGAGAAGAGAGGCCTCTTATTTCCGAAGCTACCTTTACACCAAGGCATGCATTCGAAGGAATCTGGGTTAAAAGCAGACTTACGGCAGCAACGACAAGGGAGCCAAACGCCAAAAGTAAAATCCATTTCTCGCTGGAAATTAAAATCCACATTCGGCGAAGAGCGAGCAGTGCCGTCATTGGCTTCGCCGCTGCAATCTCGTCTTGCTTATTTACAGATAAGTTCCACCAGCTACCACCAGGTGAAATGGACTGGGCAAAGGAAAACGCCTTCCGTAACCCAGAACCAACGTTGCCCTGCTTCTCATTCGCTGAAGCAAAGAATTGGCAAGAAGCTTTCAAATTCCTACATTCCCACCCCTTATCGGACCTCGAATTAGCATTTTGCAAGCTGGTAAAGGGAAATAAACACCGGGTTTTGGTTTTGCAATTGACACTATTGGCTCCGTAAATGAAAGAAACGCCAAGTTTGCTCCGCGGGAAATGGGAGAAAGGCTTCACGGACATGTTTCTGGGTGACAAAAGCCTCAGAAGCCACCTTTCGCGCCGTTGTGCGAAAACCGCCGGTAAGTTAGCGCCGAGCGGACGTTGTTTGCAATTGGGATTCCAGTCTGGCCCAGTACTCAGATCGCGGGCTTCTTACTTTTGGGATTGGCAGATCGGGTCCTTTTATAACCCAGCCCTATCGCATACTTTTTGGAATTGCAATCAGACCCATTATTCAAATCGTGGGCCTTTATGTTACAAAAAAAAAATCGTGGGCCTTTAATATTCCAAAATTTTCTCTCTTGTTTTTTTAATTATATGGAATGGAAGCCCATATTTTCTACAATTAGGGGTGGAAGAAAGAAAAAACAAAAGAAAACAAAAATAAAAAACAAAATACAACACCGCAGATCAACGCTCCCTTCTTCACCCTTTCAGCCATGAACTGGAAGATTTAGCTGAAATCCACACTGAACTGCCCAAATTTCTTCGGTTTGTTGGATTCAGAAGCTATGGCTGCGATCGCTGAGCCGAAGCTAAAACAGCGTCCAATTGTGCGCTTGGGGATCTTTCTGATCTCTCACAGTCTCTTTGTCAGGTACTCATTCTTCCCCTTCAACCCTTATTGGTTCTTCTGCTTTTTATTTTCAATTCGATAAAGCTAATTTGCTGCATTCTATCGTTGGAATGGTGGGTCTTCGTTTCCAGTATTGTTTGCTTCACAGCCGGAGTTTTGGCCCTTCTGCTGCTCCCGGTTCTTGCTAAGAACACCTACATTTCCGAGAATGCGCTCATGCCAGGTCAAATTCATCTATTTGTTTTATATTTTATTTCTGTTTCATTCATGTGAGGAGTTCATCATTTTTTTCCTGCGAAACACCTCATCTCGCTTCTACGACTTCTCTATTCACTTGATGACTTTGGTGGTGTCCAAGTTTTTTTTTTTTTTTGGTGTCTGGGAGCAACCAAGAAGATGTTTCTAAGCATAACTACATTTTTGCTTGTGGGATTTCTGTTTCAAAGTGATAGTTTAATTGTTGGCCTATCTTTTGGCGCGAGAGAAAACCTCACGGTGGTGTTAGCAAAATCTTATTTTAGTAGTCTTGGCTGGATATCTCATTTCAGTTTGTCTCTTGACCTGAAGTCACTATTTGCTAGCTGATCTGAAGTTGAGATATTCTAATTCTCCGGACCGTTGTTTCATAGGATCAACTACTCTTTTACTATATTTCTACCTCACCTCTCCACTGCATTACAAGTTTCCTTTGCTGAACCTTGCTCCAAGTAAAACTCGAGGAAAATAAAGAAACAGAAAGTTCATATGGTCTCACTTGTCTGTTGCTTTGTTTGCGAAAGTCGAGTGTTTACTTGTTAAATTCAATGATCTGCGCCATTTTGAATTAGATTATTAGTATGCCGGGAAAAGAGTGGGAGATCTTTCTATTTCTTCTAGCCATCTGAATCCCAGACTTTCAAGTTAAAAGGCTTTTTCTTTATTGTTTGTTGCCTTTGGTTGCGCTATTATTATCCAGGTTCTGCGAACAATATGCTCTCTAGTCATGATGCCTCAGTGGCAAATAAATTGGTGAAGGACTTAACTGGTTTGAAGTTGAGATCCAGGGGGTCAGAACTGTAAGCCCCTTCTCTTCGTCTATGACCTTCATCTCTCCTTTTTGTTCAATTTATACAATATTTTCAATCATTGACAATAATTGGTAATGTCACGCCTCTAAATTTGAAGCTTGTTGAGAGATAAATGTAGATAGATACTGAAGAGCTAATTATGCTTTCAGAATGTGGCACTTTTTCAATTGTTTGCATGGATTTCAATTTTATACATGGTACATTCTCTTCAGTATTCACTATTCCATTGTTGTTGAAAAAACTTTGCCTCTACAATAAATTCTGGTAGAGAGAATATTGTAAATTTTGAAAAGGTTGTTATGCTGTTGGATTTTGCTGCCTTTTTTATTATGAGTTTGAAAAATTTGAAAAAGGACTTTAGTGATAAAATTGCATGCGAAATGGCCACCCAAGGCTATCTCAGGTATATGGTATGTGTTATAAAATGTTCTATTCTGTTAAATTTGGTATATCGTATATGTTATATAACTTCAAAAATTAACTATGCTCCTATTTTATTTTATTTTGGCTTGTATTTTGCAATTACTTTTCATGTTCTTTGTATTTGTGTGATTTGTCTATCTTCCCGCCTGCAATTTCTGCCCTAGATCTATCTCTCAAATCAAAACATTTAATCAAATGTTCCATCCTCTGCCTAATGCCCCTTCTTACCTGTCAGCAAAATAGATTCAAAATAAAAGATACAAAATAAAGTCTGATTCAATTGTTAATTCAATGCAGAGAAAGTCAAAGACTTGTAGCACATTATATGTCAGACTTGGGTGCTGAAGTTACTCATCATAAGTTTTACCCTCAGTTAAACCAGTTTCATCCGCTGCACTTTTTTACAAGTCCTGATTCTGGGAATGTTGGGAAAAACATTAGTTGTTCATCACTTGGAATGAACACAGTTGGAATTATAAGAGCACCACGTGGGGATGGCAAAGAAGCCATTGTCTTGGTGACACCTTACAATCCAATGGAAGTTGGTGTGGAGGAGGCTTTTTCTTTGGGAATTGCATACTCAGTGTTTTCACTGCTTACTCGGGCTACTTGGTTAGCGAAGGATGTAGTCTGGCTTGTTGCTGATTCCAGATATGGAGAGTATTCTGCTGTTGCTTCTTGGCTAACAGAATATCTAGCCCCAGCTTTTAGCAGAGTTGACGTGATAAATAGTGAAACATGTAGCGAGAGCAATATTGTTGACAAACTTGGACAGAAGCGTTATACTGAGAAAAACTTGTATGATGGTTTCAGACGTGCTGGAACTATGGCTGCTGCCCTTGTAATTAAAGTTGCAAAGCAAAGTGATTATTTTGAGGACGCTGTTCATATTTACGCTGAGGCATCCAATGGACAGATGCCAAACCTTGACCTCATCAATATTGTAAACTACCTAGCAGTACATAAGCAAGGTTTGCAGATAAAGGTAAAGAAAATGTGGTCTGTACTGAGCTATAGATGGCTTTATACTTTGGGTTTTATGTTTGAATCACTAGGACAAATTGCTAGAAGCTTGAATCCCCAGTGGAAATTTGGTATCCCTGCTGCTGAGTATGTTGAGGGCACTGCTACGCTTGCAAGTTCATTGTATTACCAGGTGCTTGCCTACCTAAAGCTTTTTCATTTTATTTCCCCCCCCCCCTCCTCCTCTTCATCCAGAAAAATAATCACTTCTATCAATGTTTTCATAGCAAACATACTGTTCCTTCTCAGGGTTTGGGTGTTCCCACTGGTCCTCATGGTGCCTTTCGTGATTATCAAGTTGATGCTATTACATTGGAAATTTCATCAAAAGTTCCTCTCATTAAAATGGCCAGGCGCAATGAGTTCCTTATCCGTGGTGGAAAGTACGTAATCATATATCTGTATTGCTGCTTCTATTTACTAGATGCGTCACTAAAATTAATGCAATTATAAAATTATTTGAAATGCTTGTCTTAATTATATGGTTGTGCTAAAGATTGTAAGAATTGTAAGGTGAAGACAGTTATAGCAATGTTTAATATGATAATTAATTGGGCAGTTATTAGAGTTCTGTTCCATTGGCTATTGTGGGAGGTACTCCTCTGATCCTATTTGTAAATTACTTCCAACATATTTCATATAGATGAAGAAAACCTTAACCTTCATAATTCTTATTTAAAATTCAATAATTTTCCAACTTAATCCCTATTTAGTGTACATTATATCTCATATAAAAAAGTCAACACAATAATAAATGAATGGTAAAATTGTATATCTATATACAAATTTCTCTTAGTATCCTATAAAAAAGACCAAAAATGCCTTCTCTCTTTGCTCTAAACAGGACCAGAGGAGTAATTCTGTTATGATTAATTGTTTGTAGTTTAACAAGTAAAGCTATACTTCATGTTTTAGCATCTAGTTTTTTAAGAATTAACCATCATATTGTTATACTGTTAAACAGTATGAATACACCTTCTTTAGGTGTGCATTGTATTCCTCGCCCATTTTTTATGGCTGCCATCAGTTGATATAAAGGAAGGGGCATTTCTGCTGATTTACTGAATATATGTTCAAATTTAATCTGATATTCCTCTGTCCTTAATTGGTCACCATAACAAGAGTTTTTCTTGCTGCAGGCTGATAGAAGGAGTCGTACGTTCAGTAAACAATCTTCTTGAGAAGTTTCATCAGTCGTTTTTCTTGTACCTCTTGACATCCCCCAGTAAGTTTGTGTCTGTTGGAGTTTACATGATATCTTTTGCTCTACTTGTTGCTCCACTTCCCATAGTTGCGGCTTCTCTTCACGTTGAAGCTAGTAATTTTGATTCCATCCAACCGAAAGAGAAATCTGCTTCCTCTTCTGCATCCGAAATGAAAGTCAATTTCAATTCTTGGAAATGGCTGAAGTCAGCCAGAAAGGTTTTTGCCTTCCACTTATGGGGTGGTTTTGTCTCTGTGCTCCCATATTTCATAAGTCAAATGCCCGGTTTAACCAGCGAAACCAGCTTCATAGTATGGATTGTGCTATCAGTTTTGAGCCTCCTGGTTTCTTACATATCCTTGGGTCCTTCATTTTCTGAAGCTGCTGCGTCTCAATCTCAAAGAAAAGAATGGGCTTGCTTAAAGTCGGTAACTATATCAGCGGCATTCATTGGTTTGTCTCTCACGTCAGTCATTAACTTTGCTACTGCAGAAATTGGGGCTTTACTTATCGTCCCAATTTGTCTGATGGCTCGACCTTTGAAGCTTGACATTAAAGCTAGTAACTTGATGTCTTCTACGAGGATCACTTGTAACCTTGTTTTAGGATTCATTGGGTTTCCTCCTGTCACTTACTTTTTATTGAAGGGTGTATTTGAAGGGTATAGTGGTATTAATGTTGGCGACTTTTGGGAATGGTTGGAAACCCTTTGGGCATGGAATAGTGCTACTTACCTCTATATAGGTCTTGTTCACCTGCCATGCTGGGCACTATGCATTCACATCTTATTTCATCATTGTTGATATGTATCATAATTTAATTAGACAAGCAAATCGTCAAGAGGTTCCTTTGTTTGTTTGTCTGTTCTTTTATTGTTATCTTGATCTTACTTGTTCCTTCGGCGCATGTGTTTTCCTGTCTTTTTCATTATGAAATATTTTGTAGGTTAAAATACCCACATCTTTTGAAGTTGCTTACAGTACAGCATCCCCTTCTATTACGAAAGTATGCGCAAATCTTTCTGAAGTAAACATGTGGTCCAAAATACACGCTTGAGAATATTAATAATATTAATTTTTAAATGAAAGATATCATTATGTATGATTAAACGTTTGCTTTCATTTTTATTTATGTGGCAAAAGATTATCCACTTGTTCTAAATTATTAAGCAGTTAAGATAACACTGAAGCTATGTGCCAAGCGTGAAAAAGATATTTTGATCCTTTTTTTTTCCTTAAACCGTTTATATGTATAGTTTTGTAGTCATTCTATTCTACGTCATTTTTTACCTTGACCTCTTATTGCAAGGAAAGTGAGGGTCACGCATGTTTTAACTTTAAAGGAGAGGAACGAAGATTCTTAAAACACAACGAATTATAATTTTTCTTTCTAAAAATCAAGAGAGTGAAACTCATCCGATTTTTATTTTGAGCCCCCGCGGACTAAGGAGGCAGGAGGCCAGAGGAAAAAATGTTAGGCGGCAGCTGCTGATCTCTGGTCCCTGATTGTGATATATATAAATGAACACATGGTTAGGTCGCTGGTATAAATTTCTGATTACTTTTGCTCACACACTTGATTGGAGCAAAACTAAAGATAAATGCACACACGGGTTCTATCCTCTTGCTGATGTACGCCATTATTCTCCCTTCCTTAACCTTTTCAATGATCTCTTCTCTCTGTTTCATCTCTCTTTTCCCTCAGTATAATCTAATAATATGCTCCAAATTAATGGTTCAATATAATTCCAACCCCACCATCAACCAAGTAACTTGTGCCTTTAGGAAAAGCAGAGATCCCCATGTGGAAGCAATGAGAAGCAAAGCCTCCAAGAAGAACAAAGGCAGATTCCCATTCCCTAACCCACAATCTGGGGTCTTTTTCTCTGCTTTTACTGGTTTGACAAAGATATGCTGCTAAAATATATCAGTTCTTGCACTGTGCAGGAACAATAAATATATCTATCTGCATTACAAAACCTCACAGCTAAAATGGTACTTTCAAAGGATTGCCTGTCAAAGTAGTCGGCATCAACACCTTTTATAATTATTATCATTATTACTTTCTCTTGCTCTTCTCTGTATTTTTTTTTTTTTTCTGTTAGTACTGGAAAATGACAATGAAATTGTACATGCAGTAGGACTAATATCAGTACAGACATGACAAGAGAGAACAGAGAGGGAAAAAGAAGAATGAGGTGAAACTTAGAAAAGTGAGAATTGTGTTGTGGCTGGGGATGTGTTTGTGTCAACCAAACCTATATTTCTTTCTTTCTTTTTTTTTGGGCATAAAAAGCAAATAAGAGAGATAGATATCCCATCTTTTTGCTGCTTCCTATTTTATTAATAAACATGACTTATTCTTCTCCGTCCGCTAAGGTCTCGTGTGGGAATATAACTTCAAGAGGGGAATGGCCCTACCAGATAGTGATGGCTACCTAATTAGGTCCTAATTGTGATTGGACTTAGCCTTCACCACTAATTCTTTTTTCATCTTTTCATTTGCAAGCATGTCCTCAAAAAAATTTTCTGAGTTTTTAAGAGGATTATAATTGACCCGTAACTTCTTGCTTCGTCATTTCCTCTAAAACTTTATAGTTGTTGGGTTGTATTAGATTATTTGATTTGAAGATTCCATTCAAGGGTCAATTAATTGGAAAGAAATGTAATCACGCAAACCAAAGTGAAAATAAACAAGAAGCCTGCACCGTGCCTGTTTGCTGTGAGTTGTGTCTGGAAAGGAAAAATGGAAAAAAGTGAAGGAGTAATTGTAATTACGCATTTTATGAGGGCATAAGTCAACATTTCTTACTTTCGCCTCAACCATATCCTCTGCATTGAGACACATGTTTCCAATCGAATGAATGTTTAAATGGAAACCTGCGAGAACTGCTATGAACCATGAAACACAATACGTGAACCGGCACTCGTGTGACGGAGCTTCTTCAGTTCTCTTTTTTTTTTTTTTTTTTTTGGGTGGTTGGGGTGGGGGTGGGGTTTGGAAATGACCCTTGACTTCAAAAGCTCACCGTAGCAAGTAACTGTTTGGGACATTAAATTTTGAAATTAATATCAAAGGATCAAGATTCTTATCTAATAAAAAATATTTTTAAAAAATTGCTCCCTGTTTAGTTGGAAATATAACGAATTTTAAATGCAAAAAGCTATGTATTATTATTTCTTTTGGCTAACAAAAGCTATGTATAATTAATGTAAATTATTTAATATCTCATTTTCTGATTTTTGTAACATCCAAGTTTTAAGACATAATCTAGTTGGAAATAATAAAAATGTGACTATAAATTATAGAAACTCAATTACTATTTGGCACCAAGAATGTGGAGTTATTAATTAAGTTTAAAAATACCTAGCTGAAGTTTCTTATCTATTATATTAAGTTTTCTAATCATATGTGGGCATATACTTTATTTTTCTTTATGTGAGTTTACAACTAAATACTATTAAATATTAATATTTTTAAAAAAAAAACATGATCATATATAATTTAAAAACTTGAGGTGATGTATATAAGGAACTTGATATAAATTTTTAAGTTTTTAGTTCTTTGGGGAAAAAACCTGTCATTAAAATTCATTTTTAAAGTAACAAAAATTAGCATGAATTTAAGTTTGGTTGCAAATGGTAAGGATGTTGTTATAGATGATTTGTAAATACTTCTCTAAACAATCTCAAAGACATGTCTTGAAAATTTTTTTCAGATAAGTCCACTAGATTTTAACTCACCCAAAATTATTTG